GACAGTGACAAAACTATTTGCACACCTACTCCACAGTGCCTGTCCCAAAGCCATTATTCCACCCTTTTTCCTGCCATTAGACCTCATCTCCCACATTAGAGACACAAAATGCCAGAATGCACTTTCCCCGCTTCCCCTGTACCTAGGGTGGACAAGTGGCTCAATCCTGGCCAGTGGGAGCTGAGAGGACGTCTTCTAGGGAGGGTAATTCTGAGAGAGAATGTTCTCCTTGTAAAGGGTGGAGGCACACAGGGAGGGGACCCATTGCTCCCATCCTGTCTGCAGACCTTTTCCTGTGGGATGCAATGGTTGGCACTGCTGCAGCCATATTATAAGCATGAGGAAAAAGGCAAGATTGTCACAAAGGAGCTGCCTATACAGTAGCCAAACACACCCCTGGATGCCTCAGGGCTCCTGGATCTATGAGAAGAACAAATCTCTATCATTCTAACCACTTTTAACTGCATCTTCATAATTTGGAATCTAAAGTCCAAACCATGTAATCTGATGTAGAAGATGATCCTCCAAGAGGCTAATAATTTCAAAATTATACAACTACAAAGGAGGGGAAACTTGATTTTTTAATACAGGCCTAATGATTCTAAATCATTCACTCTTCTTTGCTGTCCCATATATATCCCTTGGGCTCTGAATTGAACAAACACTGTACACTGTAAAACTCCAGACAGAACTGAGACATGACTAATAAAACCAGTGCTAATGATAATACTGGAGAGTAAGCAGAGTGTTTGAGGCTGTGGGGATGCGGCCTCGGCGAGGACAGGAGCCCAGCCACCAGGTCCTTCTGTGGGGATCTGCAGGAAAGCTCAAGTGTGGCTCAACCACACAGGGGTCCTAGGAGCCCGGTTTTCCAGCACATCTGTTCTGTCAAGAGTGCAGCAGCCAGAGAACCAGCCCTCACTAGGAAGTCTCAAAATACTTAGATTAATAAAGAACATGCTGAAATTTCTACTTTGAAAATCCTATTTCCTCCTCCCAGCAGAAAAAGGCCCCTGCTTTCTACTCCACTGTTCCAAGAGATTCAAGGAGGGGCTGCCCTTGATAGTATCTGGAGTGTAGTCAGCTGCAGGTATTTAAAGGGGAAGGGGGGAGAGGTATTTTTCTAAAATACTAATTTAAAGAACAAATCAACATCTATTATCTCCTTCATTATGTTTTAAATTGTCCATCTATAAATCACCCTGTAGCAGGTCATTCAAGGGCAGAATTACCCAGCTTGGCTTTCCCGAAGGTTAGGAGAATGACATCTTGTGCTTTTCCTACTTTAATTTATATCTTTGCAACAGAACCAGCATTGCAGGCCCATCCATTAGCAGGGTAGCTACACATCTGCTAAAACTCAGCACAATGGCTGGCTTTACACGGCCACAGGAAACGTAACCCAATCGTTCCAAAAGTTCTACTAACTCGAGCTATTTTTTAATGGAAAATGATTTGAAAATGCAGTTCCCTAAAACATCTGCTAAGCTCTTGCTACCCTAACACATGATATTCTTTCTACTGTTACCTGCCAACACAAATATTTGGTTGCACAAAACACCCCAAGAGGCACGTGATGGTGCTCAGCTTCAAATTTACATACCGATCCTCGAAGGGCTGGCTGGGACCAGGGAACTCCAGCTAAGACGTTGTTTACCAGAACGGAAAGCTCATGCGGGGGAAAAATGGAGGGGCAGGGGTTAATGTCACGAAGGCGCTCAAACAGGTTAAGAAGAAAACATAGTTACACAACTAGATATATATGGCAGGGTCACTGGGGGGTACCTGACGAAGAAAGCGAATTTGGGAATAGATGGTGAAGGGTCTGACGTTGAAATACCATTTGCTTGAACAAGTTGGGCAAGTTGTCTGTGCTTTTAAATGCAAATTAAGGATAGTAATTCTACCATTGTAGAAGGATTGTGAGATACACGAAGATCTGTAAGCGGATACATAGAGCATCATGGCATCTGGCCTGTGCTGCCAGGGTGCATCTCCCTTGAGAGTATGCCAGGAATCTAAAGGCATCAAAATAGCCAAAATTATCCTTGAAAATATAATACCTGAGTTTTGTGAATTAAGCCCCATAAAGCCATGTGTATGTATGCATACATCACATGTACTAACATACAGTATATATTCATGCATACAGCTACAAAATATCATTTTAGAAGAATTCAATTGCATTAAAAAGGGAGAATATGGCACAGAAGCAGGAAAGTAAACATACAACGCACACACAATGGGCGTGACTTCATCATTTAAAAGCTGCCAGAAAACTTCAGTTTCTTTGAAGATGTTTCAAAAGCAGCTAGCTGAAGAATCCTCCATCTTTAAATATTAAAAATATTCTATTCCCATTTTATCTACTGTTTTTATTTTATCACAAATTGGAGGGAGGGGGTACACAACGTCTTTCCTAGGACCCCCAGTATCCCCAGGACTCTTGTCTTGTCCCCAGACCTCAGGAGGGAGCGTTGGCAGAGACCTCGCTTTACCAGTGGGGGTCGCTGTGCTGAGAATTAATCCCTATGAGTTTCTCATTAGTGATTATTATACTGCAGGCGGCCAAAATGGAAAAATTAATTAATTTCAAAGTGATAATGCATTTACAGCAACAATTAGAAATGTATAACTGTAAAAGGGCAACATTTAAAAGACAGATTACATTTAATAAAGTTACACAAGAACATCCAATTGTAAAATTACTGATCTGCAACAATACTCCTTAAAGAGGCACTTAAAATAGCCTGACTCCATGAAGGGTGACCTAATTACTGTAACTAAAATCACCATAGTCACAGCAAGTCACAGCAAATAAAAAAGGAACATTGATATTACAATACTGCTGTTTAATACTTAAGGGAGCAGGCGACAGTGGAGAAGCTAAGGCACGGCTTCCAAACACAAGGCCGGGTTGTGCTCCTTGTGTCCTTGACCTTGTACAATAGAATATACGCTCCAGCAACACTCATGTCAAAGGAAAGCACTTCCTCTGAGGTGGAATGCAGAGGAGGTGACAAAGCACACACACAGAACACACCTGGGGACAGGGACACTACATCTTCCGAAGCTTCTTCCTGAGCACCAGGAATCCACCTTTTACACGGGGTGGGAATGGGAACGCAACCACAGGGCTTATTTCCAAAAATACGTTTGCTTTACAATGGCAGAAGTGCACCCTCATCCATGGAACAAGAGTCCTATCGTGAGGATATCGATGATAAGCAACGCACAGGAGGACAGAACCTGCGGCGACTCTCCCAGTAAGGCTGGCCTGTCCTCCCAGGGAAGTGCAGCCATCCCAAGACTGCGCTCACGCCGTGCCCTACAGAGTCCTCGGTGTTTACAAAAGAGAAGCAATTGCCTGTGAGTTTGAGAAACGAGTCCAGGGTTTCCACTCCACTTCTTTATAAATCTATTTATATGGAACTCTAATGGCTAAGAAATACCACCAAATATGTAAAGATATTATTAGAATTTTCCGGAGTATCTAAATTTAGCTACATAGTTCATAGTCTTCCTAATCCATAGGCTTATCCTAAACAGTACATTTGTGTGTGACACTTAAAGGACGCTGTTTTCCAATCACTTGGATCAGGAACAGGAAATCCTCAATGGCCTCCGCAGGGACCAGACGTGCAGGTTGGAGGAGCAAGTTCTCTCTACCTGGGCACCCATCCTGCCTTGCCAATTAAAGTCCCCAGATTACCAGAATCTAAGTTTACAGAGTTCTTTAGTTCCAGGACCCATGTAACCGTTAGCAGCAACTACATTCTGGAAAATACTGTTCAGGACCAAGGTAATATTTGCAATAACAAGAATAACAACGGTCGGAGCAAGAAGTGCTGCACACCTACCGTACAACCGGCACTGGGCTAGGCACGCCACTGAACCACGCTTTCCGACTGGGCGGCCATTAGGCACGTGCGGCTATTTCAATTTAAATTAATTGAAACAACATTAAATTAAAATTTTAATTCCCTATGTATAGGGTCCAGCACAAATAACATCCCTTTTTATTAAAAAGTCTTTTATTACAAAATCATAAGCACGTAATCCTGTAACATAACACTATCACACTCAAGCACACCATATGATGTTTTAGGTGAAATGTTTAAACAAAAACTATACATTATGACACCCGTATTATTACACTACCCACCAAACTCAAGCAGGTGTTACTTCTGCTGGACCCTGTATATTAGCCATTTTTCAAGGGCTCAATAGCCCGGTGTGGCCAGTGGCTACCATACTAAATAGCCAAATGAAAGCCAGTGGTTCAGAAAAATACTACACCAAATGTATTATATAAAATGTGCATTCTTCATTCAAGTTACTTCTTACTGAAATGCTTTCATGGAGGAAGTTTCTAGATATGGCTGTTATATGACCATCAAAAACATAAAAACATCATAGCTGCCTTTGTGAACATTTCCAAATCTGACAGCAATAATGTGCTCCATCCACAAGGATTCCCCTTTGGGGAAGGAAAGAATGAGATGCACTTCCAGCCAAGGAAGTGCACTGCAGGAGAAGTCCACACCCATTAAAAGAAGAACTTGGAACATCGGATACAGATTCAGTGGAATCACGTCGGCTGATAATTCAATAGTCACAAATCCATGTTTTTCACCTAGTAACACAAAACAGTCTCCAAGTACTGCACTTCTGAATAATAATGAAAAAAATCACATCAAAAGAAAACCAATCATCACCATCAAGACTTTCAGCCATACTAACACAATATTGGAAAACCGCATCTTCTATCCAGCCCTCCGAGACACCTTTAGAGAAACAGATGTAATCTAAAATTGATTGAAATGTGTTCAAGGGCCCTTTCCAATGGCTTTAATAGGCTTGATGATGTGATTATCAAGACCAGACTCATCATTACAAGAGACGAGAGGCTGAGGAAAACGGGCACCCAGGTTTCCCTTGGGACCCTTCCCACAAAGGCGCACGGAAAGTGTCCGAGGAGATTAAAGCCGTTCACTTACCATGGACTTGGTGAAGGGCCTGGCCAAGGTAAACAGCAGCGTGTACACCCACCAGTTGCGGTGGAGGGAGGAGTACATCATGTTTCCAGGATGCACGGCATTCGACGTGACCCCTCGCGGGGACAGGCGGCGATGGAGCTCGTTGGAGAAGAGAATGTTGCAGAGTTTGGAGCGGTTGTAAGCCAGCATGGCCCAGTAATCATTTTTAGATGGAGAGAGGCGGTTGAAGTCTAGTTTTCCTGAGGCATCATTAATATCTGTAAATCTAAAAAAAAAAAGAAAATAGAAAACATGACATGCATCAGCCAATTCTGATGTCTGATACAGCTTTTTTATTTTTATTGGCAATCTGCAAAACTATGCAGACTACTGAAAACTCAACTTTTGAAAACATGGAAACAAAGTTGCCCTTAAAAATAGACAATGGTCATTTAACGATATAAACCAACTGGATCCAAAGATAGACTTAATAAAGGCCCAAACTTTCTTAACTTGCTGAACCACCACCCCCCCACCCACCTCTAACATATATTTTTCAAAATCTTCAACAGGAAGTTCAAAGATAATTAAATTAAATGAAAAAGCATCTTAAAGGGCTGCTGCTTTTGGAAGCAGAAAGATATCACATTCCTAACCTTTGACGGGGTTTTCCCGGGTTATTTTAGCCAGTGCTTGAATCCTGTATAATTTCATTTGAGCATCCTAGTAAATATATGGATGAGTCTTGCTGCTTCCAAGACTCTTTTTCAGATTAAAAATTAATGATTATAAAGGGGTTACAACCTTGGTGAGGTGCCATCAATAGTCTTCTACGTTGGAAAGACAAATATAAACAAAGCCAAAATGAGATCTGGCAGAGTGCAATGTTTTTAAGTACACCCGTGGCATGGATACACACAAATCAGAGTAAGCAGTTGATGTTTTATAATTGGGTCTGACGGAGTCGTTAAACACCAGCTGTTTGTTTCTCTCCTTTCTTTTCTCTCTCCCTTCCTTCCTTTCTTTCTTTTTTTTCCTTCCTCCCACCCTTCCTTTCTTTTAAAGAAATAACAACAAAGTGGTGCCTGATTTTTAAAAAATGGGTAATAACAAAGGAATTTTCTAGAGGATGGTGTCATCTTTGGTCAGGACCTAGTTCACTTCATTAAGTTAATTCTCAGCATTTGCACTGAATAATAAGGAAGCATAGCAAGAGTAACCTAGATAACTGCTGTGGAGAACAAAAGATAAAATCAAAATTACAGAATTATCTGGTTATTCCTTAATATGAGCAGTTCAGTTGAGCTATGACCAAAGAAAGCATCACAGGGGCAGACAAAATGCATGTTTTCATGGAAATTAAATATACCTTGCCTGGGAATCAGTCAGTGACATCCAATTTCTTATATTAAATGACATTGCTGCTCTAGCATCATCAACAAAGCTGATGGCCAGAAACACCATCAGTGATACGGCAACACGACGTTGAAACGGATTGCTGGCTGCCTGTTTCCAAGTCCCCAAACCACAGGGAGAGCCCAGACTTCTGAGCTTAATCGTTTAAGGCAGTGGAACTTAGCGGGAAATTTAAAAATTTATGGGCGCCTTGCTCTGGCTGTCATAACGATCGCCGGCGGGGCCGGGGAGGCCGGGTGTCCTGCGACGCAGGCGGAGTCTCGCTCAGTGAGGGCTGCCGCACTGGCCATTCACGCAGCTGAAAAGCCCGGGCATAATTATCCGAGCCGAGAGCCTAACTGTGTTTTACATATGTGCACAGTTTTAACACCCACTGGATTTCCGGGAGTGCAGTACAACAATCGTATAAATGAGGAATGAGTGCACTTCCACATTTTGTGATTGGGGGTGGGGGGTGGGGCCTAACTCAGTGCTGGTGGTGGGGGGCTGGAATGCCACATGCCTGTTAGCAGCCTGCCTGTGTGGATACCCCTCTCCGGGTGACTTATGCGTGTACACGCGCATCTGATTACTTACCTTTCCTGCAGTCCTGCCCAAGTGTTCATATGTTGAAACATCTGCTATTTTGCTTCACATTTATTTTTTCCTCAGATTACAGTAAGCTAGCATATTGAATTAAAGTATATTTATGCAGAAAAGATATATTACTCCAACCATATTTCAACATTGTAATAAGACAGCGATTTTCAAACAGTGTGCTGCATGAGGCACACTGGCGTGCCACAAGAACTGTTCACACATGCCCTACCTGACTATTTATCCAGGGGCACTGACCTCTTTTCCCTGAGACTGTGAAATAAAAATATGACAGCAGCAAACACAACGGCAGCCGTCAGGTGTGAACAGGTCAAAATTATATGTACTTCTTTTTGGTCAGATTGGCAAAAAAAATCTTTTTGGGTGTGCTGCAGAATTTTAGTAATTAGCTTATGTGTGCCATGAGATGAGAAAGGTTAAAAATCGCTGTAACATGGTGTTACAGAAGAGTCATTACAAAGAGAGACTGCTGAGAACCCAGTGATCCAAGACATAGGCCGTGTCTCGGAAATGCTGCCGACTCACGTAGGAGAGAGCATCGAGGGTTTGGACAGTATGGAAAAGGTATGGAAACAGACACAACGTCCTTCACCCTCACTCCTCACTCTCTGTCACCTATTGCTGGAAACCTTCTTGGCCTATTCTTCAGCTCAACCCAGCTCAGGCACCACTTCCTTCAGGAATCTCTCCCTAACTAACTCTTCCACTGCTGGTTGCTGCACTGATTTCTTAGGTGGAGGTAGGAAGATAGACCGAAAAAATGTAAAGCAGATTGAAATGCCTGTTTCCATGGAAATGAAGCGTCCAGCGTCCAGGACCCAGTCTATGATATTATTCCTGTTCAATAACTCCGCCACCCCTCCGAGATAAGCAGCAAAGGCAACCACACTGTCTTTGCATTTAGTCTGCACGCCATGCCTCTGTCTTTACCTCACCGGAAGACTGCAAGGCTTTTGTTCACCTCGTCCGAACGCTAGACTGTGAATTTTTAGACAGTGAGCCCCTTGGATGTTGCCTAGTACAATGCTTAACACATAGTATGAACTAAATACAAAGTTAGAGAATAAACTAAGGGCCATGTCTCCTCCCTTTATTCTAAAAATCTTGTTTTGAGCCTTGCTGGGAAGGCACATGTACTGCCAGGTTCAGATCCTCTGTGTTCTTCTTCATTAGAGAGAATGAAGAATGTGGCATGTTGGGTGTAGCACTTTCTAATGTGTAAAATGAGGCCCCTGCTTTGCTTTTTCAGGACAATGCAGAAGTATCTCATGATTGGGGAACACAATGGGTTGATTAAATTCCTAAAGAGAGACGTCATTCATTCGTAGCCCCCAGCCTAGAAATCTAGAAACAAGACAGATGCACGCACACACACACACACACACACACACACACACACACACACACACACACCATGGGGAGAAGTGACAAGAAACCAAGCTGAAGGCAGGTTTCAAGGAAGCACAGCTGCTAAACATCAGGCCCACCCCCTGCACACAGCACTCCCCCGTAAGTGGCCCCCTGACTTCCTGCCCTGCTGATCTCCTGGGCAGCAAACCTATCTGGAAGGTCTGAGTAGCTTGTATTGACAGTCCCGCAGGAAGCGGGAAGGGTGGGCAAGCCTTCTGATTCCTCTGAGCCACGGCAGGCTTCCTGAAAAAATGACGAAAACGACCGTATTCTCCTCTCAGCTCAAGAGGCAATAAAACAGCTCTTCAAAGGCTGCCTACTCTATTTTCAAGCTGAAAAACTGACAAAGCCAAACAATCGTGTCTTAATAGAGTGATCCTCCTACCAGTATACTAACATGTTAACATTTGCTCTCTGGACATTAACATCAGTTGTTTGAGGGGACCTCTAGCTTGTATTTCTATCTATGCTGCTCCTTTTTTTTTAACTGAGGATTTCTAAATTACCAAGCTAAAGTAATTAGGCTGGATTCTATGTAGACAAAAGCTAGTATGTTCAAAGAATAGGACTGAATTTGCATCAGAGGCTCTGTGTGTGTGTGTGTGTGTGTGTGTGTGTGTGTGTGTGTGTGTGTGTGGCAACTTAGCACTCAACACAGCTGTGGCCACGTCGAGTTGTTCAGCCAGCACTCCGCTCTGTTCCTTCTATTTTAATTGTTATCTGAAAATTTTTCACAGCAAGGGAAGTCAAGTCCTCATTTTAATATGATATGTTTTAGGCATGCAGAAACTCGATTCACTTGCTCAGACTCCAGATCAGTAACTAAAATGCAGTGAAGACACAGGGGGGCTAATAAATATTTTGCCTTGGGGCAGTCTGGTGTAATATTTTCTGCAAACATAGGACTTTATTTTTCCCCTAACAGGGGGTCTTGACTCCAAGGAAGAGATTCTGCCGGGGCTTATGGAGGTAATTAGATATCAACACTTCCATTTCACACCACGGCTGAGGGCTCTGGGTGCTTGTGCAGACAGCAAGTGCTTTCCCAGGGCCGTGCACCCTCTATTCGCAGTGGTTCTCGGGTTCTGGGGGAGAGGGGGTGCACAGTTAAAGTGTAATAAACAAATCAGCTTGGGGGGTTAACGTTTTGTAAGAATACGCACTTTAATACATGCAAAGGATAATCATAACGCCGAAGACGGAAGTGAGCCTGGCAACGCATTTCAAGAAGGCCTTGTCTGTAAACTAAAACGGATCTAATTCAGGAGACCAAGGCCCTTCCTTCCAATTCATCTTTTAAATGAAATTAAGATTCGGATCTCCAAGGTAGGAACGAATTACACTGCAGTTGCGGAGAGGACAAAGACGTCACATGAAATACCATTTGAGACACAGATTTACAAAGGGAAGAGAGCAGCTGACAATTCAACATAATCTCCCATTAAATACCAGCTCATTTAAACATATCCCGTGGTGCCCTCCACATCTGGCAAGCGATTGGGGCTGGCAGATTTATTTCCGGAGCTCGCTCCCCTGCGCCTGCCCCCGCGGTAGCCTCCCTCGCTCCTTCACAGGGCCACTCCACTTTGTTTCGCAAACCCGGTGTGATTTGCAAAGATAAGGATGTCCAGATTTTGTTACCACCTAATTACTAGATGCTTCGCGTCTTTTAACATGGGGGAGGAGCATTACTGGCATTTTCCTTTCATTTCAGCCATCATAAATTTAAAATGGTAAAAGTAAATCTATCTGCAGTATGTCACTTATACCCTAAGCCCCTGTGTTTGGGAGTGATAAAGGCTTCAGACTAACCCTTGGCTGGTCTCTCTCTTCCAAGTCCCACGGGTTACATTTTATGGAAGCATGATTTAAAAAATAAGCTCCATTCTGGGTCACTAAAACATTTCAGGACTTAAGGCAGGGAAGAAGGGGGGGAAAAGAGGCACTTGCACGTTATTTTTTTCCAGCTACTTTGCTAAGAGTGAAAGCTTCCAAGCCCACTAGGAAAATCTCCCTCACACGCATTAAATCTCGCCTCCCCCAGCAAGCCCTTTGTCTTTCCCGAGTACTTCTCTTCAGACAGACAGTTGTTTATCCAACTCTAGAAACAAATATGCTGAAAATACGATGAAATTTTCAAATGCCTTTTTAGTCAATTGGATATTCTCCTAATGGTAATAGAAAAGAAGTGCCATCTGATGTTTTAATTGAAATTTTAACCAAAAGAGGCATGGCCAGATTTCTAATATGTTCTAACTACAGTACTTCCCTTCCTACAATTACACAGCTAATGTCTGCATTGAATTCCCTAATTTCTCATTATAAAACGATTGGATTTCATCTCGCAGTCTTTAATTGCATTGTTTCTCCTGCTAGAATAACTGCACATTCTTCTTGGTGAGATGTTGAAGTTGTTGAATGACAAATCAATAAAGGTCAGGCATTCAGATTTAATCAATTATTATTCCATCTCAAAGCAAAATCAATGAGGGGCTTGAAGTAGAGTTGTAAAAACAATCTGCACTGCTGTAGACAAAATCCCCAAATAATCCCCCACAATCACAAAGAAACCTCAAAAATTAAGTAAGCCGGGTCAAGTGCACCCACACTTTTCAGAGCAGTACTAACGGTAACTATTTTCAGAAAGAGTCTTGGGAGAAAATCAGCTGGTGCAAGGAAGGCAGGGAGGGGACAAGGGGACAGAACATGGAATTGTAACCCACCTGTGGGACTCCGAGGACACCACAATGACTCGGGCTGGGGCTGAGTGGCACAGGACATCCTGAAGGAGCTGGACAAGGTAGAAGTGCCCCAGGTGATTCACCTGGAAGGTGGTCTCCAGGCCATCTTTTGTGAGGCTCCAGGGCAGAGCAAAAGCCGCTGCATTGCACACGAGTACATGCAGAGACCTGAAAAATAAAATGGCCAACGTTGTTGGGATGTAAACACTCTGAAATCAAGGATGGCTCGTGCTCTCTCAAGAAGAAACAAATCTTCACTGTCTTCAAGGCGCCAGTCCCTTGGATTGGGATACACCTGAACGTTGCACCTTAAACCATTCCGACAGGACTTTGACCTGGCAGCTGCACAGGGGTGCTGGGGAAAGGGGGTTCCTGGTCTGCAGGACTCTCAGTGTGAAAGCAGGCCCATGCTGGGCAACCGGGGCACATGGGTCGCCTTGGCCGAAGCCTAGGTCCTACCACCTAGTTGAATCTCTGCTTCTCCATTCAGCCAATTTTCAGCTTCTTCAAAATAGCCCTCAATGTAAACATAAGAAATAAAAGAAGAAAAATATGCTGTAAGAAGCTGCACATAGGAACCAGCATTTAGGCCATGCTAAATAAACATACCAAGGTAGAAATGCTCCGTCTGAAGTGACAGACAAGCAGTGTTTGAATGTGGTCTTTCTAGAAGTCAGATTAAATCCACGTTTCAGAAACGAGCTTCAGGGACAGGTAAGTGGGGGCCTCTTATAATATCTTCTTTTGTACATATTTAATTTATTTCATAATAAAGATGCTTTAAATATTAAGTAAGACGTTCCTGTGAATCAAAATCCTAAATCCTGATAAAGGAATTGAACTTGTAGGAAATCATCCTAAGGTACCAAAAAGAATTTTATAAAGAAATATATACCCAGTGTTTGTAATTGCAACATAAAAACAACAAATTAGAGTTAAACTAAATATATAATTTGAAAACCATGAAATGGATTTAAATATAGAATACTATGCAGCCATTAAAATGATAACAAGTACACAAATCTATAGACCCTGTAAAACATTCGTGTTAAAAAACAACACAGGTGCCGTTGCATGGTCACACCTATGCACAACAAGAACAGCTGTGCAAACATGGTAACAGCAGCTGTGTCTGGGGAGGGGTGGGACCCAATATGTCTTACACGGTTCTCTTTCTGAGTTCGTTTGCATGTTCTTCCTTTTTTCTATAGTTAGCATATGGGGTCTTTAAAATAAGGAAAAAGGGAATCAAGGGAATGCTTTATAGAAAGACAAGCAGTTAGGAAGTTGACCAGTGAAAGAACAAGAGAAAAGAGAAAGACAGGGCAGGGTTTTACAGGAGTACTGGATTAGAAGTTCAAAGACGGGCCTTCTGTCCCAGTGTCAGACAAATCACAGAGGCCTGCAGTTTCCAATGCCTGCCTGTGGAGCAGGGGCTGGGACTGGCGGTGCCACTTCCTCACACAGCCCAGATGCCACGTCACTGGCTTGTGGGCAACATTTCCTACATGATGTAGAAAGTAAAATAATTTCCTGTAACTTTGCTTTAAAAAATGCAAAGAAATGTTTTATAGAACTATTACTTTTTGCAATAATCTGATTTTGTTCCATCCTCAAAAAAGACTGTAGCCGATGTCGTGAGTTATTTAAAAACAAAGATTGGTATGCAATAAAGGGAAGAGTACAGGAAAGGCTTTCCAAAAACTGGAATAATCTGTTCTCTAAAGAAAGTAAAAAGGAACAATGACAAACGTGCAATGTTATAAAGGACCCTTATTTTTACTATATAAAGAGTGTTTGCACATCAATAAATATGGATGATACTTTAAAAATTTATAAAACTAGAGTACAAAATAATCAGCATAAGAGTTAATATGCTGAACTCTGTAAGTAGCAAAATTTTAAGTATTTCCTACCTAATTAGCAGATTTGTTTAATTTATTACATTTTTATCTTGTATAAAGCTGGTGAGTATATTCCTACACCCTTTACATTAAGTTGAAAATATATATGATGAGAATTTAAAAAATTCATGCCATTTCACCTAGTAACCCTGTTTCCAAGCAATGGGGTACATAGGGGGACAGTGCCAAGATAGCAGCTCATATCTCGAGGGAAAATATTTTATCACTGATAATGTTTAGAATTGCCATTGCACAATAATAACAAAGTGCACATCAACCTATAGTCGATTTTATTATTGGCTTTGAATTCTCTACCAACAATGCTCTCCTATTTTGCCTACATAGGGGCAGACCACTCCCATAGCACCTTCTAACCCTACTGATATGCCACTTCTTCACTTCTTCTGTAGGGGGGTTAAGGGTGGACCCTAAAAGATAGGTCCACTAGGAACCTGTGAATGTGAGCTTTGGAAAAAGGGTCTTGGCAAAGGTAATTAAGTTCAGATCTTGAGATGAGGTCATCTGGGATTAAGGTGGAACCAACCAATGACAAGAGCCCTCACAAAAGAAGAGAAGGGCAGAAGACACCCAGAGAGGGAGATGGGAAGGCCAAGGCACAGGATGGAGTATTGCATGCAAATGCCAAGGAACGCCAAGGGTTCCCACCTGCACCAGAAGCCAGCAGAAAGGCTCTGACTGGATCTCCCTCGGAGCCTCCAGTAGGACCCGATGCCGCCGACACCCTGATTTTAGACTTTTGGCTCCCAGAACTGTGCTAGGCTGAATTTCTGTCATTTAAGTAATGAAATTTGTAGTAAGTTGTTATAGCAGCTCTAGGAAACTAAAACAAGTTTCCAAGATTCTTTCCTAAGTACTCAAAAATTTATACAAAAGTTTACTCATAAGGATGAATAATAGTTGTGAGCTACAACTATAAATCTGTATATGAACTGGAAACAACTTAAAATCCAGCAACAGGAGAATGATGAGCAAAGCCCCCACCCGTATCCTGCAAGGTACCTGCCAGATTAAATCAGTATTACTTCCTGCCTCTACACCCTTCCCTTTTATCCACAAGAGAAAATAAAACTCTTCAAAGGTTTTTGTTTGTGTGTGTGTGTGTGTGTGTTTGTTTTTTAGCATTTCCCTGTCTTTAAGACAAGCCTGGGCATTTGGAATTTCAGCATCATAACCTCTAGATAATAACCCCTTCATCCCTGTCTGCACATTTTGTGGGGAAAATGCAAGCTGTACCGAAAAAACGCGCCTACCAAAAACCTCAGCCTGGGGCATGAACCCAGAGGACGTGGGTAACCCTTTCCTTTTCACCATATTTTAACACCTTTCATTGATGTTCATTGCACAACACCAGAAGCAAAATCTGTATCCTGTACTTAAACTTGTCACCCCCATTAAATAAAAATAGGCTTATGGAATATGAAACTATAAAGTACTAGAGTTTTTTTTCAACTGTAAAGACACTTAATTGGCTTGTACAAAAGAAAAAGAATTCCTTTAGCCTCACTCTAATGAGGTATTTATTATTCAAATGGCACATTTTGCTCAGTTTTGACTAAAAGCCATTGCAATTCAAAAGGCTCTGAGATGATGAATATTTACAAAATATCAAAAGGAAAGTTCAAACTGGAAAGACAGAATAGAAACAAAAATAGTACCATTCGGATTCCAAAGTTGATGCTATTAGTCAGCACTTTCAGGGATGGATTTTTTCCTTCTTTGGTGGATTCTGATCTGTGAGGGGCAAGTAAGAATGGAAAAACTGTTTTCCATGTAAAGAACTGGAGATTCCAACAGTTCCTACCTCTCTATTGAGTGGTCACAGCACCTTCTCCGAGCCCCTGGGGGTGATGTTTGGAATGTAGCAATCCCATCCTCTAGAGCTGAAATTTTCCACTGGGCCAGAGAACAACTTCTCAAGAAAGGAGGGTGGGATTCCAATGGTTTACCACTGGGAGGTGCTGCTTCTCATCAGTGAGAGTGACAACTGGCCAAGCTTTCTAGCCACAGCAGCTTTCATTGATGCTTCACACTGGAAAGAGCACTGAATGGTGATAATAAATAGAGAGGGTCCTAGCCCATTGGCTGTCTGTCACCCACTGGCTTTCAGACAGTTGATCTCTAAGTTTTCCTCCATGCTCCCTCCTTCTTTCCCTTTAATTCAGGTATAATTGACACACGATATGCTATTAGTTTCCAATGTACAAGCCCTTGGGAGTCCCGCCCGTTGACCATCCTCTCTCTTTCTGGCCTTGTCAACCCCTCCCACTCCACTGGTTCATTCTTGCTGTGTATGAGGCTAATCAGACTTTTCTGACCATCATTTGAGAGAAAATCAGGAACGAAAGTGGAGGGAGAGAGAGAGAAAGGGAGATAGGAGAGAGAGGGCTAGAAAAAAGAAAGAGGTCTACTTGACACTGGGGCTCCTTCAGCTTGCACTAGCCTCTCCTTTCCCATGTACGGTCGATCATTTTGAAATATTTATCTCCATTCACAATCTATTTTCTTGTCCAAACTCACTTCTCCTCACCAACCCAACTGAATTCTGTCCCACCACCATGCAGGGTCCACCAAAGCTGCTTGGAGAGCAATGGCTTCCCAGTCACTAAATCCAAAAACCTCCCTCCTGTTGAGACTAGATTTCTCTGTTGTAAAGGACCCTGCTCATCCCTGATTCCTGGACCTGCTCTGATTCAGTCTCAAAACTCTTCCCTATGGCAATTTCATCCGGCCAGAGACCCCCAACAATGCCCTTATAACAGTGAAGTTCTCACCCACAGCTCCAGCCCCTGTGTCTCTCCTAACTTATGGAATCCCATTCCTACCCATCCCAAATCTAAACTCTTCACCTTCTCTCCTCAAGTCTTACCCCCTTCCAGGTGTTCTTATTTCTGCAAGGAGGGGGTACTCTCTCACAGTCATCTGGGAAACTTAAGAAACATTTGCTGTCACATCCTCTCCCATATGCCTACGACTGATCAATGCCAGTATCTCTAGCTCTTTCAGATCCTCTGCAATGTTTTGTCCAGTCCCTTACATTTCCAGTGAAGTGGGTGTTATGATGTTCTCTCTAGTTCTGACTTGTGGGTCCAGTGTACCCATTCTCAACTGCTGTGAGCGCTGACTTCTCCAGAAAGTCGTCCTTTGCTGATGGGCAGCGGCATCTGGCAAGTCATGCCCCACATCCATGTGCTCTCCAAACAAAGGGAATCAATTCTATGGAGTAATTCCTTCTCCAGAGCTCCC